TGTTTTTTTTTTTTTTTTTTTTGTGTAGACATTCTTACTCTATATTTAGCTTATTTCCTTTCCTTTTTTTGCTTCCCTTTACATAAGCAGTGCCTCATTCCTGAACATATTTATTTTTTATTAATAATTTTATGTTCCCTTCTTTAAATGACTTTTCCTGCATGTTCTTGTTACACTATGAACTATGGCAGTTACTTTGGCGTTCTGATGGCATACGGTGGCCTGCTAGATGTGAGGACATTTCACTTTTGTTTAACAATGCATTAGTGTTTCAATGCTAATTTACTAAAAGGAGTTTTAAATTCTGCCATTTCTTATACAGTTTTTGAGGGAACAAGAACCTGAATCTGTAACAACTCTAGTTCGTACACGGATCTTGCCACTGTATACAGTAGCTGTGTCCCTACCATACCTAGTTGCTAGTGCAAACTGGGTACTTGGAGAACTAGGCTCCTGTCTACCAGAAGTAAGACAGAATGTCAACAATGTTATCATAACTCTAGCAAATTCGAATTTAAATTGATTCTCAATATGCTTTCATGTACTGTTGGGATGAAATACCTTCATCACATTTTTAGTTGATCCCATGTTAGTTTCTGTGTCTTTTCAGGAGATGAGTACTGATGTATATTCCCAGATGCTCATGGCATTGGTCATGCCAGATAAGCAGGAGCCTTCTTGCTATCCAGTGCGGGTTTCTGCTGCTGGGGCAATTACCACACTGCTTGATGTGAGCTTTTAGCTCCCTGATTTGTTTTGGACTGGGATGTTCTGATTCCTTTTCTCTTTTACCAAGCTTTCGTTTCTTTTTCAGAATGACTGCATGCCCCCTGATTTTCTACCCCTTCTCCAAGTAATAGTTGCCAACATTGGAAATGATGAGGGCGAGAGCGAGAGCGAGAGTTCCATCTTATTTCAGCTTCTCAGTTCTATTATGGAAGCTGGAGATGAGAAAGTTGCAGTCCATATCCCACATATTGTCTCATCAATAGTGGGTACAGTATCAAAATGGTTAACTGCCAATATGGAGCCTTGGCCTCAAGTATGTTTATATTTCTTGTGTTTATTTATTGGTATTAAATCATTTCTATTTCCAATCACATAATAACATTAAATCTGTGTATGCTAAATATATATAACTTCATTGCAAGGTTTTATTGAAATTTCTTGATATGAATTCAAATGGTTTTCAAGATTGGAAGTTTTAACAATCTGTAGGTTGGTTGAAATTGAAGACTTATTCACCCTCTAGTTTGCTAAATTGAACACTTTGTTTTATAGGTTATATATGTTCCTCCTATTTGTCTGCTGCAGAGTCTTCTTGTAGCAAAGTATATAGTCACTTATGCTTTGCTTATTTTCACAAAAAAAAAAAGACTTATGCTTGCTGATTGCATTGTATTTCCCTTTATTTCTTTATACATCCCTGTGCCTTGATCCGTAACCAATATAATGCTTGCTTCCATTATAACATTTTTTTGGGTGAATTCTTCCATGATAACATTAAGTTCAAAGTTTTTGGTATCCATGGTGATGTGTGGCCATGTTTTTTATTCAGTTGCTTTGATTTTCACTTTTAAGGCAACACGACTACACAGGTACTTCTTTTGACATGTGTATGTACAATAGGTGGTTGAACGTGCAATTGCTGCTCTGGCAGTTATGGGTCAGACTTGGGAAGGCTCTAGGCCTGAGGAGTCTGAGTTGGATGAGTCTCGTGAAAAATGGGCTGCAGGTCAAGTGGCAGTTGGTAGAGCTTTTGCTGCACTCTTGCATCAGGCTTGGCTTACCCCTCAATGCACACTGGTTAGTTTGAGTGCCTTTCTAAATTGAACTTTGATTTTCTTAACTTCATGTTCCCAAGGGAAAGCAAAAAAGAGAATTTGAATGGATTTGTTGAGGCTCTGATTTGTGATGATCTATCTTGCCACATTTTTATTTATTTTTTCACTTCTAAATTCCTCAAATGTTTTCAGTGACCACAATAATAATCTCAAGACAAGCACTTTTTCTAATTTGTTTAACTTCTATTGTACTTTTTAGTGCATTTGCTTATACATTAAAGTATTTGTGCTGATTAGTCTTCCCTTGCTTTATGGTTTGGCTATCAATCAACAACTGCCTTTCCTTAATTCTTTTATATCATAATATTAAGGTTCTGTTTGGATAAATGTATCCATAAGTACTTCTTGGAGAAGAAAAAATAAAATAAGTTTCTCGAAAAGTTAAACATATTTTGAGAAACTCTTTTATATTAGCTTCTTCTAAAAAAAAATTTCCTGCTAAAAGTATTTATGGAGAAGTTTATCTTTAGGTACATAGTCATGATAAAGTTATATTATGTTTTTCCTGAATTTGATAAGGATCAAGAAGACCAGCAGTGTCCCCCCTCATCATGCATAGAAGATTTGTCAACATTGCTACAGTCTGTCTTGCTATCTATTGATGGAAGTCACATGATTCGTGAGCTTAAAGTATCAGAGCTGCTGTCAGTTTGGGCTGAAATGATCGCAGAGTGGCATGCATGGGAGGAATCAGAGGATTTATCAATTTTTGGGGTGATTAAGGAAACTGTGAATTTAGATCGTAAGTATAGGCTGAAAAACTTCATTGTAAAAGAGACGCCACCCCCTCCAGCTCCACCTGTTCCTGAACGTTCAATTGTAGAGGGCATTGGCGCTTTCATCAGTGAGGCAATTAAGCAATATCCTTCTGCAACACTGAGAGCTTGTTCATGTGTCCATATATTACTACATTGTCCAACCTACTCACATGACACTGAAGGTGTAAAGCAGTCATTGGCTATTGCATTTAGTAGGGCAGCCTTCTCTCACTTCATTGAAGTTCAAAGCACGCCTGGTTCACTCTGGAAGCCTCTATTGCTTGCTATATCTTCATGTTATTTGTGTTATCCTGATATTATAGAAGGTATTCTGGAAAAGGGTGCACATGGAGGCATAACAATATGGGCATCTGCTCTGTGTCATATATCCAATAGATCTTTTGAGCCTGGTCTGATGGTGGAGGCTGAGATGAAGTTAATGGGTAAATCTCAGCCATTACTAAATTTAAATTTAAGTAATATATGTTTCTCCTTTTTTCTAATTAATGGTCTATCTTAACTATTCATTGTCTTTATTACATGTTTTCATATTTTCCTTCACCTTGCACAATTATACTTTTCTAAAATTGTTTTCATTCAGCACAATGTTATTCTGTTGTTTTATGCTGAAACATGAAATGTTGATTGTTGAAAAGGGAAAACCTATATCTAATCACAAAAACTTGTTTGGGAACACTTCAAAAATGTACCCTACATGGTTTTTCATTGAACTTGTGTTCTTTGCTCATAATTGAATTTTTAACCACAAATTGTTTGAAGGGTTGCTATTCATCTAAGTTTTAAGTTCTAACAATTACAGATAAATAAAGTCAAACAGTTGAAATTGTTTTTTAACAAACTTTGGTTCTTTCCTAATGGATGAATTTTAGTGATGACGTTAGCCCGATTGATTGAGCAACTTATCAAACAAGGGAAGTCTGGTGGTGGTGGAATTCAAAACTGCTTTGCTTCACTGTTGGAGGTATCTGTACGATTGAAAGAAGCATATGACGAGAAAGAAGATGAACAAGGATCTGATGATGCTGAAAATGATGATGACGAGGAGGAGGAGGAGGAGGAGGATAGTGACAATGATGATTATGATGAGGTTGATCTTCTAATTATCTTCCAGAGTATCTCATTTAGTGCTGTTCATACTTCGTAACATATCAACATATATGATATATCTTCTTTTGCCTACAGTGTGCAGTGATTAACATGTTCTCTTGGTTACTCAATTCCCTTTTTTTGGTTTGTTTGTTTGAATAGGACTCTGAGACTGAGGAATATGAAGAAACTGAAGAAGAATTTCTTAATAGGTATGCTAAAGCTGCTGAGGCATTAGAAAACGGTTCAAATAATATTGAAGAGGTGGACGTTGAAGATCAAGAACTGGAGCTGGAATTAGGTATGCCTTTAACGTATATGCGCACGGGAATACGTGCTTATCTGCTTTTTATTTTGTACATGCATCATCCATCTACCCAATCAAACTTTGAAAAATGAGTTGATCGTTGAATCGCTATAATTAGTCCGAATTTTGGAGGTTGTTGCTTGAATATCATTTTAAGAAATTAATGAAATTGACAAATCACAATGATTTAATGTGCTTGGATTTTTAGACGCAGCAATACTTGCGATCCATTTCACCCTGTTGTTGATCAGGGTTGCTTATTCACAATTCAATCGTAGATGGAAAAAAAATGTCGTTTTTAATTCATCTGCTTTTTTCTTGATCCGAATACAGGTCAATTAATTGATGTTGATGAACAAAAGATCTTGACGTCGTTGATAGAGAAGTACCACCAATTGCTCAAACGAGAACTAGTTTTGCCATCGGAGCTCGTCATGAATTTCCTGAATGCCTTCCCTGTGTACGATTCATATTTCCAGCAATACAGATAACCATCGTTTGTTTATGCGGTGTTGCCAAGGTCGTGTAAATTAAATTTTTCGTGTAAGACAAGCCGTCGGGGCTTGGAAATGTGTGTACAAAAGAGAAATTATTATTTGTTTTGAAAATATCTACTTGTTATTTGTTGATTTGTATAATTATTCTTTTACTGGGGAGTACAGCAAGACGACGGTTACAGTGTCGAGATTTCAAATGAGTGTTGATGCACCATACATGGAGCTGCGAAAATGTACTACTGAACAACTTTTCAGATTTGAGTAGTTGATGGATTAACTGCGTTGCCGCAGTGGCAAAATATACTCCGAACTTTACGAGTATTCGCAAAAGATATATAATATATAATTAAATAAAATATCTTATATTATAATATAAATTTTAATTAAGATTTTAAATTGTATTATTGTATTATTGTATTTATTTAATTAGGGTTGTTCCATTTTTATTGATATTTTAATTATCTAGATAATTTATTCTTTAGTCTTTTTGTCATTTTTATTTTCTTAGTATTATTAGACAGAAATAATATATAATCTTAGAGAAGCATTTACGCAAATGAGGAAATGTTTATTTGTGCTCTTTTAAATGTGATATATATATATATATATATAAGTTGGGGGATATGTATTTTTTTATTAAAAATATAGGGGGCAAATTTTTTTTTAACCTATAAAAAGTGTTTACATTTTTCTTATAGAATTTAATGTGAAATCAAGAGAAACAATGATTTGTAGAATGATTTTTTCCCCCTCAAATGTTATTTCAAGAAATTAAAAAAATTGTCAATAATTAATTTTTGTTGAAAAAATCTGATTGATTTTTAATAAAAAATTTCTTATTAATCATGAGATTCAAACTTGAGACTAATGTCACTTAAATGTAGGATGTATGTGTTTAATTTAATTTATTTTGAAGAAATAACCATTTATTATTTAAAAAATCCCTAAGATTTAGCGGTGTCCAAACATGGTATTAGACAATTCCACATTATTACTTTGCTGATTATGTCCATGCCCATACCATTGGTTATCAGTTTAGATTTTTTTTTATGTTATTCCTTCTTTTGCTTTCACGGCTGATGTAACCGGAACCGCATTCCT